CCAGGTCCACAGGAGAGCTCGGTCCACTGTTCCGGAGAGCTTCGCTTCGCTCAGCAATAAACCCTTCTGTGGCCTCCCTTTGCCTCCCTTCGCTATATACCTTTGCTGTACCTCGCTCTATACCCCCTCCCCCCTCTCCTCCTTTCCCCTGCAGCACCTGCAGTGACATTGGTGCTGCCGCCCTGCCCTACCTCGCTCGGACGACCAGGTTGTCGCTGTTGCTACCAGCGCAGCTCCACTTTGTACGTTCGCTAGCTGTCGAGGCAGGCGCTGCGCTGCAAAGTAGGGCGGTCAGGGGACGGCTCGCGCCTCGCGTTCTCGTCTCTAAAGGTTCATCCGGACTGACGTGTTTTTTTGTTTCTGTCTGTTTCAGGTGATTACCGTGGCTCGGCGGGCCAAATCTTGGATGAGCAGGAAGCAGGCGGAAGATGGGGGGGGGGGGGGGCAGTAAGCGACACGGTTAATCTAGTTCGCCCGGTCGATGCAAATGCGACTTTCGGAGGACGCAGGTTTCCAATACTCGAAGTTTTTTCTTTCGTCACGATTCCACCCCCATCCCATCCCCTTTCTCCCCGGGTAAACCTGTCGGGTAAATTAGAAGTCAGCTGCCAACCCCTCTCGCCCCCTCCCCGTCCCTCTCCCCGTAACGCGCTCAGACCACAGTTAAATTAAAAGTGCGCCGGGCTCCGTCTAATCCTCCCCTCCCGCCTCCCTCCCCTCTCTTTCTCGCCCCTCGCCCGCCGCCCGCTGGAAAACCAACAGGGTGAAATTGCGGAAAGCGCGTAGCTGGAAGGCACTGATTTCGGAGCCAGAGAGGCAGGCTGGGCGGATCTGGGTTAACAGAACCACCTACAAAGAGCTTCCTGTTTGAGAGAAACGTGTTTAATTGTTGCACCCTCCAAATACCCAAACACCATTTATGTGAACAACATTTATATAAAACGTAACCCTGATGATGACATTACACCCTTTTGCCGCGATATTCAGCAAAGTTTTATTTATTCCTGATAGCCCCGTAAATTTGTGTATGTCGATGTTTGTAATAACCGGACATATTGTTGTTTAACTTTTGGGTGTTCTCAGTTAAGCTCCATCTCCCTGGAGGAGACAGAGGGGCGGGGGGCGTCTGTCTGCGCAATGCGCTACGCTCTGTTGTACTTTCGCTCTTCGCGCCGAGTCGAGCCGAGCGAGTCTGGCTTGGTCTGGCTCCATGTAACGTGCAGGGGAAGGGGAGGGCCCCGCTGTGTTGCGGCCGCCCCGCCCGGGCTCTGCCTGCTGCCCCCCCCCCCCTCTTTCCCCTCCCTTCTCCCTTCTTTGTCCTCTGCTACGACACCTACTCTATTTCGCTCCTCCTCTCTCCTCTTCCCTTCTTCCTTTCACCCCACTAACCCTCCCCGTACCCCACCCACTCCCGCCCCCTTCCCTGCCTCGCTCCTGCTGCGCGCCATCTCGCCATCTCTCTCTCTCTCGCACGCTCTCGCATCGTATTGATCGAACTGAGCGCTGCTGAGTCTGCTGTGCCTCAAGAATGCTGCTGCTGTGAAAGGGATGCGAGAAGCAAAGCAGGAGGAAAGGGGCGCTGAGGGGAGGCCCAGCGGGTCCAGGCTCTGCTCTGTTCTGACCGTTTTTGACTTCTGACTCGGCAACAGAGGAACCGACCAGAGGAGTGGGGGGTGAGGGGTATTCTGACATGCACCTCAGAAGCAAAATTGAAAGAATCAAAAAGTAGGAACTCAGGAGACTCAGTTAAAATCGCACATTTTTAAAAAAAAGATATCTGTATAAGATGAAGCGTGCAGATTCAACTTATGAATTTAAAGAGAAGGGAAACAAAAATAAATATTTTAACTGTTACCAGTAACAGGCAAATAATTTCTTGGACTTTGTTTTAATATTATTTTTTTGTCTGTTCTCTCAGGTCAACTTGAAGTTAATATTGGTCAGTGGCAAGACAAAAGAATTCCTATTTAGTCCAAGTGAATCAGCTGGGGACATTGCTCAACATGTCTTTGACAACTGGCCAGAAGGTATGATTTGTGTGCAGTGTGCATTGTGTTCCTCATAATTTGGTGCCTTATTTAAATTTCTTATTAATCTGTTACAGACTGGGCAGAAGAAGCGGTAGCAAAAGCAGAAATATTGCGGCTCATCTATCAAGGTCGCTTCCTTCACAGCAATGTAACTCTTGGGGCTCTGGGACTGCCATTTGGCAAAACAACAGTAATGCATCTTGTTCCAAGAGAGAACCTTCCAGAGCCAAATTCACAAGGTAAGTTATATAATCTATAGATTGCTGTGATTGTATCTCCACCTATACAAATATCCTTGTCAATTACTACTTAATTTTTTGCTTATTTTCAGATCAACGGCAAAAGAGTAAAGGGGGTGGAAGCAGCTGTTGCTCTGCTGCATGCTGCATACTGTAATGAGTGCTTGGACTCCTCAGCTTGCTTTGAGTTGTCCTCACCATGACTGAAGAAGGCTTAGTGCTGCTTTGCCTTCAACATTGCAGATTTCCAAATGCCTTGAGGGATTTTAAGCGGCATTTAGGAGCACTCTAATCTAATTTTAATAAATACAAAAGTTTTTAAAGCACTAGAAAATATGTGTGAAGATACAGGGTTGAAAGGTGATTCCCCTTAGACCACCTGACCTGTGGTTTGTGTTATATTATCTGTACCATTGCTGCGACTGTGATGAAGTGGAGGTGGAAACAACTATGAACTTATTTACGCTCTCCGTTAAATGACATACTGTTGTTGTTTTTTGTTTTTGTTTATTTTTCTCCCAGTTACCCCTTATGTGACTTGTGCTTGACTGAGTGAGTTCACATGTTGTGTATTATGGGATATGCTAGAGTGTGAATAGTATACATAATATAAATGTATATAAAGATATAAATATAAATGTATGTATGTATATGTGTGGAAGTGTGGGCACATGGATCTTTATAAGATGAGTGCAAGATTGTATAAAGTGTATGAATGTATGAATTTGTCAAATCTCTCAGTATGTTTGCGATTGTAAATTGTGTATTGGTTTTGTCAAGTTTTGTGTGAGAAATTATATTACAGCAGCATTTGTCTTCTTTTTATAACTTTTAATAAATTGCAGTACAAAGAAACAGGACCCTAAGCTAGTTGCTGTTGTAGTATGGAGTCATTCTGCCTGTGTTATTATTCAAATGCTTGTCAAAATCTTCTTCTAATGAGCAAAATTTTTCCTCAAAATTGTAATTGATTATCAAAGTTCAGGAAATTTATGCATTCTTTACACAAATGTGTAGGAAATTTATCTTAATTCAAACTGCAATTGGAGGATGGTGCATTTTAAGTGTATGAGATACCTAATGTGAATGAATTACCGACCTAGTATGAATAGAAAGGGGGAACAAATGTGTTGAGGTTTTTCCTTTTTTTACACTTGTTTATTTTGAAGATGAGAAAGAATTTTCCACTACTGCCTTTATAATTTGTTACTTTATTTCCTCAGTTTCCGGCTGTTGCTCATTTTTAGAAATTTGTTATCCTATCTTAAATATGGATTGCCATTCTTAAGTTGATAAGCAAAGATTTTAGTGTGTGATTCCTACATGCATGTACTTCTTTAAACTATCTTTACCTTTTCTTTTAGATTCAAGCACGTTGGCTGGAAAAAAGTTCTTTTATAACCTGCAAAGTGTGATTCTACATTTTATTCTTTCTCCTTCAAATACAAATTTTTTTATGAAATGTGAATGCTAGATGGTGACAGAAGTAAGGTACATACTTTAGCTTTCTTAAGCATCGCATGTTGACACTTCTATAAGTTAGCACAAAAATTTAATTTGTCTTACAACTTTTTCTTTTACCTCATCTATGATGTGGTGTAGCCTCTCATTTAAGATGTTACCTTTTGCCTCTGCCTTAAAATTGATGTTCATACTGTACTTTCATTACTGCATCCTGTGTACTTGGCTATCCTGTAATAAATTATTTTCAACTGTTATTTGTGGGACTCCTGGCTCAATACCTTTCTATGGTGTATTGAGGTTGATAAAACAAATCCTCCCTTTCCACATTAGAACTGTTCTTGAATTATTGACAGCTGTATGCTTTCTTTTAGTGATTCATAATGCTATGGTCTCGCATTTTAGCCAATGTTATCCATATTGTATCTTGACACTGCTTTTTGTATGTAGTAAGTATGATGTGTGACATTATTACCACTCCATCTTACCTCCTGACATCCTTTGGAAGTTTTGTGAATTAAAAATGAGACCTATATTTTTCTGACAATGACATGATTTTCCTAAATTCTTTGCTTTTTTTAAACTTGAAATTCAGAAATGTTGTTTTTAGTTCTGCATTTTCTTCAGGTGGAGCCAAGTTCCTGTTTGAATAAAATGGATTGCAATGGATTTCTGTGATAGCCCAATATCTCCTTCAATCTGTTCTTATATCCCATTGCTCATTTCAATGCGACAGCTGCTTACGTTTTAAGATGGCGTTCATTATGTGGACCTGAAAAAGAGCAGACAAGTTTGGTATTAATGCTTCATATGATATGTGCTGGCTTCAGTACAAATTTTCTGGCCCAGTTTTCTTGAAAATTTTGTTTAGTTCAAAAATCAAAAATTTGTCCCTAACTGTTTGTCAGATTCTTCTTTTATTTAAATACTGTAGTAGCTAACAATGATCTTGATCTCTTACTAAAGATGCAAGAAGGAGCATTTGGAGAGTCAGGGTTGATATTACTCTTGGGTAGACCACTTATTTTGGTATATCAGATGACCTAATGACCTATGGAAATCAAAACTCACTTTTTCCTTCCCTCCAAGTTTTAAATGTTACAATAATATATATTTTTTACTTACACCCGCTCTGAATTTTCATTCTGAAGAATTTCCAACAATGTTTTTCATGACTAAAGAGTAAGGAAGAGTACAGAATCTTATTTTCAAGTAGTCTGTCCTTCACTGTGAGACTCTGTTTTTGAAATTGATGATCAATTATGCATTGGAACTGAAATTCTGCTAAACATCTAAAAAATAATATTCCCATGTTTTGCATGTATAGGTATTCATGTAAATATCAGTTTTTGCTCATTTATATTGAGTGACATTTTTATAGCTGTCAAAGCTTGAAGGAATTTTTTTTAAAAGTGAATTTACCACCTTCTTATGGTATATCCATATTAGTGGCCTATTGTATGAGAGTTTTGTGTACAGATGCATTTTATGAGAAGCAGTTATGGAAAGTGTTCATTCTAGAAGTAAATTATACTTTTAAACCCATAAAATCATAGTGTAAAAAATATTTAAATGCAGATTATATTGTCAGTTACTTACTCTCGTGGAGTCTTTTTCTTTCTTTCTTCTTAATCGTTTTACCCTAGTTGATATTCTTTTGAAACCCTTTCCTTTTTACTGTTTTATTCCGTTGTGAAACCTATCTAGCCACCCAATGGTTAATGCACATGAGTCACATTCACTCTCCAATTAAGTTTCTGCCTTGAATGTACATGGGTTAAAGCCAAATTATAATTTAGAATGTGCCAAATGCTGTAAAGGTCATTAAAAATTGCATATTTGCATTCTTAAGGCTTGACACCCTACTTCATAGTAGATAGACAAAATGGAACATTATCAACCTTTATAGAATTTAACAGCTCTTGCAAATACCTTTTCCTGTTCAAACTTCCAAAATTTCATTAGGAGTCATGTGTCCTATTAAGTGCCTTGATCCTCCTCATTCAGGCACTTTAACTATGCTTGGAAGCACTTTCATTCAGCAGAAAGAACAAATGGCAGAGCTTCCGTTTCCTCACATGTATGTCAGTGTCTTTGTTACTTCCAACAGAACATCACAATGTTTGCTGTCATGTTTTGAATCATGTGTGACTGATGAGAATGATAGTTTTATTTTTAACTGAATGTCCATAAGAATACTATACATTCTTGTTTGATTGTAAATAATAGGAATAATACCATCAAAATTTTGTTGCATATGTAATTTCATTACTCAAGGGTTTATTCTCTTGAGACAAGTAGCAAATGATCTAGAATAAAGTTGATCATTCAATACACCACCAAATCATTTCTCTCCACCATTTATCTCTCCCTCACACACAAGTTTTAGAGTGCAGTCCATAAGGAAACTTGAAACAAGAACTAGTAGTTCAGTTTCACAAAAATAAGAAAAAGAGATTGTGTATGTTACAGTTTTTTATGCAATAAAGAAGAACCATTACTTACAAAAATCTTTTAGTATCAATACGAGTAACACATGTATTATAAACAAATGCACATTTGTATCACACCAGAGACAGCTCACTTAACAGGTTTCATTTGCCAAAGTCCATCATTTAAATAATGGCAGTTTTCCACACCTACACCTTTGTTTACTTTTGATCTGAAACAGAGAAATAAATACATTTCATGACAAAGTTGAACTTTTGGGTACAAGTACTGGTACCAAATATTTGAATTGACATACATGTCATCCGTGGATAATGATGTGATTCCCACAGCAATTGCATGTTGTTTTCCTTCTGCCATTATAGCCTAAATACTGAGTCAAGGATTTTACAAAACCATTAAACAGAAAGATAACAAAATTATGCCCAGTAATACATTGTACAATGCAGACAAAAATTCAATTCTGAAGACTGTGAAGATCCGACTACAGTGGCAACTTGCACAGCCGCACTACACAGTTCATCTCTAGAGGCCCAACTTTGAGAGGACCCTCCATTCGGCTGCATGGCCGGCCGAAGGATAAAGTCACAGTGCCCACAGTGCTGTATGTGTTATTTAGCTTCAAAGCTGTTGAACAGTAATCAGAAAAAAGATCAGTAGAGCTTAGCACAGCGTTGAGAGGCGCTGCTGTGCAAGTGGCCACTGTAATTTTGCACTCTACCAATAGTCTCAAAGTAAGATAAATATGACAAGGATACAACTACAGTCCCTTTAGGTACTGTCGTCATTTTAGCTCCCGGTGATGTAAGACCAGGACACATAATATTTGCTCCACTTAAAACGAATCGTATGGCGCCTTTGTCAACTTGTTCCAGGGGAAGAAAGAATGGATCTGTAGTGTAAAAAAACAAAAAACAAATTGTTAATTGTTACTGTTGAAAAACAATTGTAACAAAAGGAACCACTACACCAGTTTTAAAATAATTTTTACATTTGTGTAACAATCTCAATGTGGGCATCCATGGTCCTTCTCTTTGGCGGAAAAAGAGCAAATCACCCGCACTATTCACAAGCAGCTCTATGTGTTCGTGGCTGCATAGACAAAAAGAGTAGTAAGTTTATACATATCTTAACAAGCTAATCTTAGACAAAGGATCATGCACATACGCTAGGGGGAGCGGGGTACAATTAAGGTCCCAGAAGGATCAGGAACACCATTTGGGTCCATATGACATCATAATATTTGTACACTAGGGTACATATATGATGTACACCAGGGTGTAAATATAATAGAGTACCAATGAATTCCAATGAAGATCTTAATCCTCAGGAACCCCACAATATTTCCCCCAAAGGCACGTACCAGTGCACAACTCTTGGTAAGACCTTAAAGAATGTGTGTACATACCACTTAACTATTCTGAAAGCATCTTTCTTGGGAAGAATAACATCTATGTAAGATTCTAAAGTTGGATACAGTTCTAATAATTTGGTACGAATTCCTTTCTGGACTGAAGACTTAAGTTGCTGCGTCCCTGAGACGCTTTCTTTCTCATCAAACCTGAAAAAAAAAGATGTTTAAAAGAAGTTGCAGACAAGGTTTACCGCACAGAGTAGCATGTTTCCGCTTCTCAAATCATAAACTAGTCCCATTTTTATTTTTTTGTGAACTTCGTGTTTATACAAATCAATAATGAAAATGCAACAGGTACCAGTGCAAATTCATGTTAAATCAAGAAATGAAATGAAACAATTTATCGCTTTTTACAATTTGACATAGTTGAAGGTGAATAGGTTAGGGAGGCACTGACAATTTCTAAGAATCCTTAGAAGAAACAGGAAAACATAAACAGCAGTGGCAGATATGAAAATGGAGGAATTATCATGTAAGATTAATGGTGCATATAATGACACCGGTTTCTCCAAAATCATTAATAATCTAGTAGAAATTCTGGAACGAGCATATTGCTATCACAACACACTAAAATTTTTGGTTAGGTGCCGAAAAAAAAAGATAACTAAGAAAGCATCTAAGATAAGAAACAACGTGAAACCTCTACAGAATTTTACTCACTTTTTAAACATGTCAACAAACAGATAAACTTTGAATAAAAGGTTCAAAGAACCGGCAGATGTGTGCTTCTGCAACAGATGACTGGCGTTGCTGTGTGCTGTGTGTGGTTGTGCTTTTGTTTGTTCATCGTCTGCTACACAGGCGACACTCCTTCGTTCGCGTTTTCTATCTTTTTATCAGAGGAGGGCACGCCTCGTAACAATGTGCCTTCCTTGAAATCGCGTAATTTGTTGCATGACAGCATATTTTACGATTTCAAAATAAAGGATAAACTCAGTATAGTCCGAGATTTGATATCTTCGTTTGCCATCAAAAATAGGTTACGTTGGTGTGACGTGTGCTTATGCTGCTGGCGGGAGTTCATAATGAAATTATTTTCGTTCTATTCAAGAATCACGCCAATGAATGCAAAGTCATAATAATTATTTTGATCGTCTATGATTGCAAAATTTCTTGCAAGCTGTTAACCACATTTGAAGAAATGAAGTATACGCCTGGAATTCATCCAATTATTTCCCGAAATTTTCAAATTTCCCGCTTGTCACGAAGAGGAGATGTGTAGAACCGCCTGTCGTCATATGTTTTCAGTCTGTCGTCTGGTTTGCTTCAGTTTGTAAACTTTCGTTTACCGTCAATAAAAGCAGCTTTTTGTGACATAAGTTGCAGTAAAATCATTTACGGTGGACCGGAAACGGGTAAAACGTACTCACATGTCCATCGGAGGCAAGGTCAGTACCCTACTGTTAAGTATTGTGTAGCCATTTCATTGAGCTTCGGCGCCGCTAATCAGGGCGCGCCAGGCTATCGGCATATCCTTTTACTATTCAAAACTTGAAACTGAACGATACTTATCATTTTTAATTTTACTGCCTTTTCCGTTAATCGAAGTTTTTTTCTCACTACACTTTTGCTTTTTTTTTTCGGCTCGTTGAGATTTTGATCGGTTCTATTTCTTGTAGCTGTCAAATGTGCAAACATCTGACAGGGAAGTGTCAAAAGTGTCTTCCCTTTAATTAAACTAGTGGCTCTTCTTATTGTGCATACATACACAAGTTGAAGTGAAAGACTTCAGGTTGAAAGAAAATTCACAGAAGATAATGATGTGTTTCACGCAATTTTTTTTCTCTAATTAACTGCAACAACTTCAATTACAAACATTATAGTCCAAAATGTCTACGGGGATGTTAATTACATATAGTGCAATTTTAACCCAAAGTTAAATTTTGATTTTAAGAGGAACACAGTTCTTACGTTCTTAAATAAGTAAAAAAAACTGTTGCAACTCGTATTGAAAAAATAAAAATTTAATGATTCACTCTCCCCCTTTCCTTATGACCATCTGCACATCCAAAAATTTTCTCACAATATGTCCCCCAATATGTTCCTTCCCCCTCTCTTCTGTCTATATAGACTCATTCCTTCACCTTCACCTTCAGGTAGAAACAGTGATAGCAGACATTGACCAATAGGAAAAACAAGGTGGGGGACAGGTTCTTGATGACCTTGGTTTTGGAGGGGACAGGAATGCAGGTCCTCTGAGAGAAGCAACAGCAGATCTTAGTAGTAGCCTACCCACCAGTAGGTTGAGAAGTAGATGTGCAGGCTGTGTGTCTAAACTTCAGATTTTTTTTAAACGAAATAGCATACTTCCCGATTATGGCTTCGACAGAAATGGTTATTTGCCGAACAACTACCTTTACATTTTTCATCATGTGCTTTTCTTAAACTTTGTTTCTTTTAATTTCAAGATTGTATGCAGTGTAATGTGGCCTACTCCTATATTTCTGTCGAAAACATAACTGTCTTTTTCTATTTTTCCAGCCTCTCTTGTACTCCTACTGGAGGAGCTCATGTTCCTGGAGAGTGAGAATTGGTAAGACAATAATAATACGTAAATCAACTGCAAGTATATTTGTGTTTGAAATTTTTCTCACTTTTGTTTTGTGTGCATTCTAGCTCTGAACTTAAAAGAAATACCATATGACATAAAGCCAATAAGTTTGATCAAAGGTGGAGGAGAACAGCACTGCAATGATTATCGAGAAGTAAACCCTATGGAACAAGTACCCTCTTTGCAAATTGATGGACACACTATTGTTGAATCGGTATTGCTCTCAAAATTGTCTGTTTATTTTGTTATTGCTTTTTATTTTTCTATAGAAAATAATAATTCTTTGTGTCCTCCTCAGCTCAATATTATGCACTACCTTGAGGAGACTCGACCCCAACGATCTCTTATGCCATCAGATGTTTACAAAAGAGCTAAGGTTTGTAGTTTCAAGAAAAGCAAAATCCCCCCCCCCCCCTTTCCCCCTATAAAAAAAAAGGCTGGGAATTAAACCAACAATTTTTTTTTTCTCTTCATATGTCTATCCCTTGTAGGTACGAGAAATCTGTGAAGTGATTCAATCTGGAATACAACCTCTCCAGAACTTGGTTGTTCTCATATATGTTGGTGAGGAGAAAAAGAAAGAATGGGCACAGCACTGGATTAATCGAGGGTTGAGAGGTACTTTACACTAATATTTTTCTTCTTCTGTGTGTGCATATTTAAATGAGTTTATTTCTCTAAAATTTCTTATTTAATAGCCGTTGAGAAACTCCTCACAACATGTGCCGGAAAATACTGTGTAGGAGATGACATTACTTTGGCTGATTGTTGTCTCATACCGCAAGTATTCAATGCGAGACGGTAAGTTAGTAATGATAACTTGTTTAAAAATGTAATACTGTTGTCAAACACTAATTTTCAATTTCTTCATTTTTTTTTGTACAGTTTTCATGTGGACCTTCGTCCATTCCCTATAATATTAAGAATTGACAGAGAGTTGGAAAACCATCCTGCATTCCGCGCTGCTCACCCTTCTTGCCAACCAGATTGCCCACCTGAAGCTAAATAGCTAGGGCGTCCACCGCAGCACATCAGGCAAGCAAGAGCATATCAAAGCGAATTCTGCTAAAGAATTATCATGCTCTACACTTGTCAACATTATGGGACATGAATGCTGCTCTTTTCACCGCAAATGCGTTAAGATAAGTCCCAGATGTGCTGTACTGGTGGATTGAGAATTTCATAAAATTCTCTATGACTATTTTTTAGTTACATCAAAGAACATTTTTTTGCCTTTGGCCAAAACAGATCAGATTTTAGGTATTGAAAATAATTTTATGGCCTGGACATAAAAGCATTTGCAATATGTATTTGTCATTACCCAAACGAATTTTGTTACCTGATGTAGAACGCATGCATTTGAATCTAAACTTCATAGGTACTATCAAAAGGAGTCATGCTTGATACAATTTTATTTCAATTTTAAAAGTTTCCCATTGTTACCAGTGAATTGACATTCCTTACTTAACAGTTTACTATTTGCTAATAGTTTGATATTGATCTATTTTAGCAATTATCTTGATATGAATATTATATCTAGTTTGAGCAAGTGCCTTAAGCAAATATTGTAAAAAAATTATTCAGTTCAAATAATAAATATTGTAGCGCTGGAAGCACAAATTATATAACATAAATAGTTAGTTAAATGCTGTTAGATCTTTTTGATGATTGATCATAATGTTACCAAAAGTGCTTAAAATAAGTAGGACTAGAATGGTGTCAGAGGCAGATGAGTCTTTCACCTTTTTTTTAAAAGTTTTTAGAAATTTTAGACTTTTGTTTCTTGCTGATTGCACTAGTGTCTGTGATTAGCATGGTTTTACCAGTTTTCTGTTTTACCATTTGTATTTTTTGTCATTCCTTAAATCTCTCTATCAGTAGGAAGGTGATGTAGATACCCTGGTGTGTATGTGTTCATAAAATTGTGCAGTTTTGTCTTAATGTACACTACCAAGACCCATATATTGAATGTGCCATATGCCATGGGCTTCCTTGAGGAGAACATGGGGCTTCACTCACTCCTCCTTAGTTTGAGCGAGCACAGTGTTTGCAAACCCAATCAATTTCACATCAGAATGCTGGGTATGACCTGAAACCAGGATTAGCATATGGGTCATTATTTGTGGCCTTCTTCTAAAGTCAGTGTTTTTAATTGACATAAAGTCAAACTCTAGAGAGCTTTTGTAGTGCAATACCTTCATTTATTCCCTCTCTCAAATTGCCTGAAAGCATAAATAATCAACAAAATACTGTGACTTATTACTTATTTGTCTTTAATGTTATGTTAGCTGGGAGACACATTTTGACTGATTACATGAAAGATAAATTTATTGGTGAAGGTTGATAAAAAGACAAATTCTGTCAGCAACAGCCATGTCTTCCTAAAGTCATATGTACTTAACTCATGATGTATTGTAATCACAAAACTGTGTAATGTGATCAAATACTAGCATATCCTAATCCTAATCATATCCATTGATGCGTTGTTTGGGCCATTATATATTGACCACTTGTAAACACTGATTTTGTAATAGAAAATCACATCCAATTTAGCTTAGTATCTATAATCATTGTAAAACAAAAACAGCCTGAGCTTCATGTTGTTGTTTTTGTTGTTTTCAGTGGCTTAGTCCAAAATGTGTTGTTATAAAATATAATGTCCCTTAAAATATCTCTATAGAAAATTTACTCGTTTCATTTAAAAAAATATCTATGTCATGTCTGCTTTGTAGTGAAATATTTGGAATGTATGCTATTTTAGTGGATTTCCTAACATTTCAGGATTTTTCCCAGCCCAAATTCAGAATCTGTCTAAATAATTGAATAGATGAGAGCGAAATTGATTAAAGTGTGCATCTATCGAATCACCCTAGTTTTAAAATCGTCATCAGCAGCTAAAAATTAAAATTCCATTCAAGAAGGAACTCTTTTTTTTAGGAGACCTAACTTTCTGTTAAGTGAATTTTTGTATTATGACTTTTTCTGGCCCATGAGCAGGCATGTGACGAATAAAATTTACCAGTACCGCAAATTATTTGTGTCCAGTTTCAATTAATCTTGATCATCGCGGCTAAGCTGAAGGCTAAACAGGTGACGACACCCCGTGCTCTTAGAGACTTTTATTTGTGATCTTCCCTCTCTACCTGCGCACGGGGTAGTGTCGTCTGAGCCCGACCAAGCCCTGTCTGAGTCAAGCTGAGAGGGAACACAATGTGGATTCAAAACTTATATCTAAATGCTAAACAGCGACAATAATAGTGATGATAACAACCTAGCTAGTAACAACGATAGGAAGCTGGACAAAACGGACGTTGCTTACTCCACCCAACGATGAACCCAAATTCGTGGTCGCCGATCCGAGGAGGGTCTTGTCGCTGTCAGTTAGGGCATACGCGAAAATACTTGCACTAACTCGCGGATACTTATCAAACCCGCCTATGGCTGACTTACGCTGCGCACTTCGTAGTTAAACTGTACTGCATGCATGCCTGAGGGCGGACTGCCTACTCGCACGGGGCCACAAGCAGCCGTGGGCTGCGAGGATAGGCAAACCCGCCCACAACCGCGCATGCGGTACAGTATAACTACGAAAGTGCACGGTGTGAGTCAGCCACCTGGTGGTATTGAGTGCTTTCAGCCGTCTCATCTCAGACGGAGGGGGCAGAAAATAAGCCGTCGCCCTTGCATCGACGAAAACTCGGAAAAATACGAGGTGTGTGCGGTGTCTCTCCATCACAACAAAAATGTAGAATCAATCTCAATTGCTGCATATAATGTCATCGCTCATCGCATCCACGCGTGTTTAAGGAATGTTAAGCTTGCTTTACTTGCTTGTTCTTTTCTGAGTTTACAACTGTCCTCTCGGGAGACAAGGCAGTAAGGTAGAATGGCTCGGGAAAACAAATTAGGAACAAGCATAAAACACAGAGCACGAATTCACCTTGTGAGAGAGATGGAGAAAGACAGACAAAGTGAGACAGAGTGCGATGGAAGGTGGAAAGGGGGAGGGAAAGGGGGGGGGGGCGTTGGCTGGCACGGGAGAGTGTTCGAGCGGGCCTGGCTGGAGGGGCAAGAGAAGGGAAGGACAACAACTGGAAGAAGCAGGGCAGAAACTGGCATGTCGTGGCGCGCGGCAAACAGTTGACAAAAAGCCATGGGGAAGTTATTCCAGCAGGGAAAAAAACGAGGGGGCGGGGGTCGTCCAAAGCAGAATGGGAGGAGCTGAGTGTCGTTGCGAAATGGACAAACTATCATGGTGTCATTGCGTTCACGCGTTTGCAGAAAAAAGCAACATTACAGCCAGGAAAGCGAAATAATACCGGCTGTATCAAAGCGGAAGTCGCAGGTTTGCCAACTCCCTCGTAAGGCGCCACGGCCCCTGCAGCCCAAGAGGGTAGGCAAACCCGCAACTCTGCGGCGTCCGCTCTTATACACTCGGCACAAAAATAGAAAAAGTTTACACATATTCTCAGCAGCAACTACAGCAGGCGGATTCGTCAGCGCAATAAGGCAACCTGCTCAACAAAAGGCAAATTGAGATCAAAAATGACATGCGATAGACCCTCCTCTTGACCAAAGCGGTGGGTCCGACGGCTATGGCAGTATCGTATCGTACAGAGGAAGGGGTTTTGACGAGAGGCCAGGGAGCTGCTGCGTATTGCAGACGGGGAGCGACACGCGCAAGCACCCGCGCGCACGCGGGGCCGTGCAGGGGCCATGCGTCACGGCGACGCGACGGTGTTGGTTTTGTTTCATTCCAGCGCCGGCTGTGCCTGCCGCGTGGCCGCGAGGTGGTGCGTGGCGTGGCGTGGCGTGGCTGAGCAACAAGGGCCCCAAAGCGACATACTTGCCCGTCTTATCGCAGGGAAGCATCGCGATCGGGGAGTGTGGGGCGTCGTTGGGGGTCGGGGTCGGGGATTTGTCGAGGGCCCGCGAACCAACCAACCAACCAACCTGCCGCTGGATGCCTCCGCCGCCCCAAAGCCTCAACCTTGGCGCGCTGCCGCCGCCGCCCCCGCGCAGAGAGCAGACAAAACTTGTGGGCGCTGCGCTGTCAGTGGCGCTTGGTTGTCAAAATACGTTAGCTGTCTACGCCGACCCATGAAGGAAGGGCTTCGGAGGCCCTCCAGGGCGCCTCTGTGCCTTCTTCGCTGGAGTATCAGGAAGAAAGCTCGCATCAAGTTCAAGTAGGGGTTCCGGCCTCTGTAAAACTCCCGAACATCATATTCTGGCCGCGTATACACCGGCGATCCGTATAAGGCACTTTCCAATTCGGGGATGGAACTATTTTTACCCACTTAGTTTAGTTTAAGACTTATCGCAGCGATTGCACCAAAGCTTACACAAAACTATTCAATCCGTTGGACCGCATGAGCAGCCCGCCTCATGGTGCCTCGCTGAGTAATGAGCGACACCGGGCGCAAGGGGCTGGAGACCGTAGCTCGCCTCTGACGGGGCGGCGTGGCGTGGCGTGGCGTGGCTCGGTCCCGCGTGAGAGAGTGTGTGTGGGCGCTTTATTTATTTAACAGATCGTTATTATGCCCGGGTCGTTGTGGGGCGCAACTAATAGAATACGTATCCCGCGCGCGGAAACGAAGTGAGGGAAGGGGCTCTGCTCATTGGGCCCCGGGCCCGCCGAGGCAAACACTCGTTTGTCATTGGCTGGCGGGGCGGGGCGGGGCGGGGCGGGAAGCGGCGGGGCGCGGGCACTAAACCAATCACCGCGGGGGCCGCGAGAGAGGGAAGTCAAAAAGACACTGGTGAAAAGCGGAAAGGGCGTAAGTCTATTGCATAGTGCGTGACTTACGCCCTTTTCACTTCCAATGTTCAGTCCGTGGACTTACGCCCTTTTCACTTTTCGCCCGTGAAGTGGGAATGCGGCAAGCCCAAACAAAACAGTCAAATGTGCGCGCGGATAACGAAAAACAGCGCAGTTTTTAACTGAATGTTTAGTTTATTTGCGCGGCGAGTAAATAATGAAACACGCGACGTTGAGCCTGATTGCCGCGGTGTGTAGCGTGGCCCGCGCGCGACTGGAGGTTCCAGGGGGGTTCCAGGGCCCCACTCCAGGCGGCTCCAGTTTATGACTCGTCCTGCAAACAGTGTGCGAATAATGCCCCGGACCGACACGGCAGCGAGAGCGAAGCAGAGCCACCTCCAGGCCGACTGCCGTAATCGACCCTGATTTAAACTTCACGGGCCGTAAAGAAAAAGGCAACGAAGAGAGGAGAGGAGAGAGAGAGACAGTCAAACATACAAAAATAAAGAGAAAAGATAAAAGCTGACAATAAAAATACGAAGACACGAGCTTCAGTTATATCATGAACCACACACACCGCACGCAGTCACACACTTGGACACATACACACACCCGGGGCCGTTATCAGTCATCCAATCTCAGTACTTGGACACACATCACCTTCTACCCCCCCCCC